GGGAGGCCGAGGCGGGCGGATCGTTCTGAGCTCAGGAGTTCGAGATCAGCCTGAGCAAGAGCGAGACCCCGTCTCTACCAAAAAATGGAAAGAAATTAATTGGACAGCTAAAAATATATAGAAAAAACTAGCCAGGCATGGCGGCACGTGCCTGTGGTCCCAGCTACTCCGGAGGCTGAGACAGTAGGATTGCTTGAGCCCAGGAGTTTGAGGTTGCTGTGAGCTGGGGTGACGCCCGGGCACTCGCCCAGGCAAGAGAGTGAGACTCTATCTCAAAAAAAAAAAAACAAAACAACTGGTTACTTAAATGCTACTTTCTTTCCAGGAATTAAATAACTAAGGAGAAAAAGGGCAGTCTTTTCAAGTAACATTCTTAAAACTGTACACTATTCAGTCTGTGATACAGCTACCAAGTTAGCAACACATGAGTATTCTGTATGGATAAGATAAACAAACACAAGGAATTATGGCAAGAAGAAGAAAAAGACAATCCAGAGTAGGTTCTATAACAGAGAGAAAAAAATGTTTTTTCTTAATGTAAGTCTTTCTTGGCATAAACCTTTTGTGATACAGTTAACCCTAATAGGAAAGGTGGTAGTCTCTTAACCCAAAACCATGTCAATGAGTTTCATCAATAGTGTATGTTGGAGGATTATTTTTTAATCTATTCTTGGGGAGTTGTCAAGGAAATCTTTAAGATATAGAGAGCTGACCATGTGTCAGAGAACAGAAAGCAGCAACCTTGTTTACTAGGCCCCGCTACATAGTAGGCAAAATGAGGAAAGGAGAGTTGAATATTAGTTTTTTTAAGTATGCACAGCACCAAACAGCTGACCCTGGAGCATGCTGACTGCCCAGTGCCTAACCACAGGCACGCAACAAAAAAAGAAAAGGCAAGATGCATGTACATTAATGTTTTGATTTCCACACTGGAGAGGGACTGATAATATGTAGGTCAACTAAATGAGGATTTAAGATTAGTTCAGGCTGGAACAAAGAGCTAAAATCATTAAGGGAGTAATGAATAGGCCTGTTTTTAGGTTAAAAAAAAATCATCCTGCATAAGATGTGAAGGACCTTGTTTAATAGCAGGTTTAAGGGAAAAGATCTATTTTAATATGTCCCAAGAGTGGGCCATGGCTGCTTAAAATCAAGTGACATCTCTAGCTGTTATTAAAAAAGAAAAGCAGCTTTTAAAAGGGGATATATGGGGCCAAGTGCAGCAGCTCACACCTATAATCCTAGCACTTTGGGAGGCTGAGGTGAGAGGATTACTTGAGGCCCGGAGTTCGAGACCAGCCTGGGCAACATAATAACACCCTGTCTTTACAACAAAATAGAAAAAAAGTTAGCCAGGCATTGTGGCATGTGCCTATAGTCCCAGTTACCTGGGAGGCTGAAGTGGGAGGATTGCTTGAGCCCAGGAGTTCAAGGTGACAGTGAGCTATGATTACACCACTGTACTCCAGCATGGGTGACAGAGCAACACCCCTAGCCTCTGAAAAGAAAAAAA